GTCCTCCGGGGCAAGGAGGGCGTGGTTGGCTCGGAACCGATCTGAAGCGATGATGATGAAGAAATCATAGCGATTAAACATCACTTGCCTCAGGTAAGTGGCAGGCAGGAAATCTGGGGTCCCAATCCCGGGCAGGTCCCAGAAGATCACATTGGGGTACTTAGAATGCTGGTACCGCTGTAGCTGTTTGGTTGTTTCTGTCACCCCAGTCTCCGCGGCGCCTTGGTCTTCATCGCTCAGGCCCCGGAGAGCATTAAGGAAAGAGGATTTGCCAGCGCCCGACTCCCCCGTGATCGCGATGTTGAGCTCGGTGTTTTTGAGCAGCTCGTCAGATCTCTGCACCACGTAGGCCGCTAGGGGAAGGTCTCCTGTTTCCAGGGCAGCCTTGATTTCCTCAGTCTCCTTCTCAGACAGACCGGGAAGCATGTTTCTGTCCTTTTTGAACACTTTACCAAAGATAACTGTGAGCTCTTCTGTGTCCCTGTGGGGGGAAACACACCCCAAATTACAGTGTCATTTTCCTGCCACAGAACAAAATCACCTAGGAATTGCAATGGGCAGTGAGTAGAAAAGAGTGTTACCTAGTGGACAGAACCTCAACTGGGACTCAGTTTCTCCATCTGTGAAATGGGGTTAATGAAAAGCACTTTAGACTTAGAGAGAGAGACAAGCATGACATAAGAGCTGGGTACTGTGTTTCCTGTGGGCATGGTGTACTCTCCCTGCCCCCAGTTTGTCCAAGCTCCACCTCTCCCCACTACCTCTCTCTTCTCTTCCCTCCACCACCCTGCTCACCTCTTCCAGCCGAATCCCTGAACCCACATGTAGCAAATGATGTTTGAAAAGAAACCCACTCTTCTAAAATTTCTTTCTATTGAAAACGGAGCCTGTTTTCCACGGCACACCAGATTGTGACGATTGGACATGCTGATGGTTCCTAATTAAAAGCACTAATTAAAAGCAGCGACAGCTTTTTGGTGTACCCTGGAGTTTATCAGAGTTTTGTTTGTAAACACTTCGTAATAAGGGGAAGTGAGCTACATATGACAGAACACACGACACCGCCCCCTCTCTGCTTTACATTCTCTTCAGCTGTATTTCTAAGCTGATTTTATGTTTTAAAAGTACCCTGCAGTCTCCATAAAGCAACCATTCCAGATGGCTACCTGCTGATGTCCCCCAAACAGCAACATTATTTCAAACGAATCAGCCCGATTCATTTGTCCAGAGCAGGTTCGTGTGTCCATAACAGAGTTTGCTCTGTTTAGAAAAAGGGACCCTTCATTTATTTTGCGGGCTCTCTATAACACTAGACAGTCTTACGACACTTCACCTCCTGTTTATATTAAAAACACATCTCCAAAGATTGGAGGCCTACCGAAGGATTTTACGTCTTACGCCAGAACTGATTGGGGTGGCAGGTTCTCTTAAAACTAGTTCATCGAATAGGCCAAAGGAATCATAGAATCATAGAATACGAGGACTGGAAGGGACCTCGAGAGGTCATCGAGTCGAGTCCCCTGCCCCCATGGCAGAACCAAATACTGTCTAGTCCATCCCTGATAGACATTTATCTAACCTATTCTTAAATATCTCCAGAGATGGGGATTCCACAACCTCCCTGGGCAATTTATTCCAGTGTCTGACCACCCTGACAGGTAGGAACTTTTTCCTAATGTCCAACCTAAACCTCCCTTGCTGCAGTTTAAGCCCATTGCTTCTTGTTCTATCCTCAGAGGCCAAGGAGAACAAGTTTTCTCCCTCCTCCTTATTACACCCTTTTAGATACCTGAAAACTGCTCTCATGTCCCCCCTCAATCTTCTCTTTTCTAAACTAAACAAACCCAATTCCTTCAGTCTTCCCTCATAGGTCATGTTCTCTAGACCTTTAATCATTCTTGTTGCTCTTCTCTGGACCCTTTCCAATTTCTCCACATCTTTCTTGAAATGCGGTGCCCAGAACTGGACACAATACTCCAACTGAGGCCTAACCAGCGCAGAGTAGAACGGAAGAATGACTTCTTATTTGAAAACGGCCTCCCGGAAAGAAACGGCATTTCAGGCTGGAGATGAATACTCAGACTGGGTGTCAAAAATCGTCACAAGGGGTTTTTAGAGCGGTGGGTTTATAATCCTCAGCAGCGGACTGATGAACTGTTTAAAGCACATTCTGAGCGAAGGCCTGGTAGGCAAATTACAGTAACACACGACTGTCAGCATTGGCGGGTTCAGAGAGGGACAGACTCTACCTCAGGGTCGGCCCATGCTGTGACATGGCCACTCGATGGCTCTGTCATGGGGTCAGTGTTATACCCGCAGGCCTGGTAGCAGGAAGGGTTTTCCCCTGCAGTGACTCTGATACCTTAACAGTGAAGAGGCACCAGCCTGAGCCAGGCGGCCATGATTGGCGGGTTCAGAGAGGGACAGACTCTACCTCAGGGTCGGCCCATGCTGTGACATGGCCACTCGATGGCTCTGTCATGGGGTCAGTGTTATACCCGCAGGCCTGGTAGCAGGAAGGGTTTTCCCCTGCAGTGACTCTGATACCTTAACAGTGAAGAGGCACCAGCCTGAGCCAGGCGGCCATGGGGCTGCAGGGGGTCAGAAGAGGGGTAGAAAGTAGGGTTGCCAGGTGTACGGTATTGGCCTGGACAGTCGGGTATTCGTGCGCTCTGTCCGGTAAAAAAAATCAGACAATACCGGACACGTGCAGTGTGCAATGTGCAACGTCCGGTATTTTCAGATTTTTCCAGCTGTGCACTGGACGGAAGCCCGGCGTGGGCGGGGGAGCGGCTGGGAGTCCCAGCTGGGAGGCGGGGCCACGATTGCCGCCGGGAGCCCTCAGTCGGTTGAGTGTGAGGAGGAGGGGAAGCCTCTTCCTCGCTCGTGCGTCGCCGGGATTTCAGGCTGGAGATGAATACTCAGACTGGGTGTCAAAAATCGTCACAAGGGGTTTTTAGAGCGGTGGGTTTATAATCCTCAGCAGCGGACTGATGAACTGTTTAAAGCACATTCTGAGCGAAGGCCTGGTAGGCAAATTACAGTAACACACGACTGTCAGCATTGGCGGGTTCAGAGAGGGACAGACTCTACCTCAGGGTCGGCCCATGCTGTGACATGGCCACTCGATGGCTCTGTCATGGGGTCAGTGTTATACCCGCAGGCCTGGTAGCAGGAAGGGTTTTCCCCTGCAGTGACTCTGATACCTTAACAGTGAAGAGGCACCAGCCTGAGCCAGGCGGCCATGGGGCTGCAGGGGGTCAGAAGAGGGGTAGAAAGTAGGGTTGCCAGGTGTACGGTATTGGCCTGGACAGTCGGGTATTCGTGCGCTCTGTCCGGTAAAAAAAATCAGACAATACCGGACACGTGCAGTGTGCAATGTGCAACGTCCGGTATTTTCAGATTTTTCCAGCTGTGCACTGGACGGAAGCCCGGCGTGGGCGGGGGAGCGGCTGGGAGTCCCAGCTGGGAGGCGGGGCCACGATTGCCGCCGGGAGCCCTCAGTCGGTTGAGTGTGAGGAGGAGGGGAAGCCTCTTCCTCGCTCGTGCGTCGCCGGGAGCCTGCACAGGACCGGCAGCAAGTGCCCAGGGCAGTCCCGTTCCCCGCCAGCCAATTCTAAACTAAACAAACCCAATTCCTTCAGTCTTCCCTCATAGGTCATGTTCTCTAGACCTTTAATCATTCTTGTTGCTCTTCTCTGGACCCTTCCTAATTTCTCCACATCCTTCTTGAAATGCGGTGCCCAGAACTGGACATTTTTTGAGCTCTGGGCAAGAAAAGGGGCGTAAGGGCTCTTTCTGCAGCGGGTTTTTTAATGAATTGCAGAATTCATTTGAAAACGGCCTCCCGGAAAGGCCAGGCATTTCAGGCTGGAGATGAATACTCAGACTGGGTGTCGAAAATTGTCACAAGGGGTTTTTAGAGCAGTGGGTTTATAATCCTCAGCAGCGGACTGATGAACTGTTTAAAGCACATTCTGAGCAAAGGCCTGGTAGGCAAATTACAGTAACACACGACTGTCAGCGTTGGTGGGTTCAGAGAGGGACAGACTCTCCCTCAGGGTTGGCCATGCTGTGACACGGCCACTCGATGGCTCTGTCAGGGGGTCAGTGTTATGCCCACAGGCCTGGTAGCAGGAAGGGTTTTCACTGTTAAGGTATCAGAGTCACTGCAGGGGAAAAGGCACCAGCCTGAGCCAGGCGGCCATGGGGCTGCAGGGGGTCAGAAGAGGGGTAGACAGTAGGGTTGCCAGGTGTCCGGTATTGGCCTGGACAGTCGGGTATTCGTGCGCTCTGTCCGGTAAAAAAAATCAGACAATACCGGACACGTGCAGTGTGCAATGTGCAACGTCCGGTATTTTGGGATTTTTCTAGCTGTGCACTGGACGGAAGCCCGGCGTGGGCGGGGGAGCGGCTGGGGGGCCCAGC